AGCCCCCCTCATCTGCAGCCCCCCCTCATCTGCAGCCCCCCTCACCTGCTGCCCTCCTGGAAGAGGGCGAAGTCCAGAGAGGCCCTCTCGAGCACGGTCAATGCAGTGACACCCACAGGCCCACTGGCCGAGCGGGGGAAGGAACCCTGCACCCGCACCTCCTGCCAATCCGAGCGTGCCTTGCAGATGTCCACTGAGTCAAAGTACCTGGGGAGTGGGGACAGACATGCTCCCACAGCTGCCCCACCCCCACCCCCCAGTCCTGCAGCCTGGGAGGTAAGACACCTGACCAGAACATGGTCTGACCTTAGCTTTGCCACTGGACACCACAAGAGCAGCTAGGCTGCAGAGACCCCAAGATGGTCGGCTGACCTGAGGGTCCCTGCCGAATCCACGCCCCGTGCCCCTCCCCCAGGCAGATGCAGCCAACACACCTGATGAAGTCACTGTATTCCATCCAGAAGACGCCCTCGCCACTGCTGAGGGGCACAAGTTCACCACGCAGATGCCCCGGCCAGTGTGGCCACTCGTCTGACCAACTGCCGTTCCAGGAGAAGCGGCCCCATGGGTTCCGGAGTCGCAGAAGCCTGCAGACACAAGGCTGAGACCGTGGCTGACCATGTTGCCCCTGCCACACCCCCCATCCCGCCGACCACTCAGGCCTACCTGGAGCCCTGTACGTCACGGACGTCCAGGATGGAATAGGCGTGGCGTGGGCGCAGGCCCAGGCTCTCGTAGGCCGCGTCATCCACCTTCATGTTGCCCCCCCCACAGGAGGCGCCCATGAGGAACCTGGGGGCGGAGCACCATGTTGACCTGGTGGCCTCCCTGGTTGGGCGGCCCCTTCCGCCCGGCACCCCGCCCCAGCCTCACCCTGCCTCCTTGGAGCTCAGCATCTTGGCCCAGATGAGGTCGGTGTCCACGGGCTCCTCACGGGGGTTGGTGGAGCTGACCTGCAGCAGGAGGCTCTCGCAGGGCGCCCCAGTGAGCGTGGCCAGGCCCTCAATGGCGCGGCCCGCCTGCAGCGCAAAGTAGGAGCCGTGCAGTTTGGCCAGTGCCTTCTCGATAAGTGCGACCCACAGCTGTTTCCGCTGGGCCTGTGGGGTGGGAGAGGTTGGAGGCCACTGCTGCCCGGATGCTGTGCCCTGCCTGCCTCCCACACTCCCACCCACCTGCGAGAAGAGCAGGTAGCCAGCCTCGTCACAGGGCAGCATGTCATCCACAAGCACCGTGGTCCACGTGCCGTCCTTGCACAACCGCACCTGGTAGGCGCCCTCGGGGCACAGGTCTCGGGTGACCATTACCCGCTCCACAAGGTCGGGCCGCTCCGCCAGCACGGCCAGGGCACTCAGGAACCTGGAGGGCGGCAGGCTCAGGGGGGCATGTGACTGGCCCCTGCCCCTGCCCCTGCCCCTGCCCCGGGACGCCCTGCCCTCACCAGCAGTTCCCCAGCAGCCCCTGCAGGATGTCCGAGGGCCGCAACCTGCAGAACACGGACCAGCACACGGCGGACGGGCCCTTGAAGACGGAGCAGTTGATCTCGTGGGGCCGCAGCCACTGCCGAACTCGCTGCTGTACGCCGTCACCCTCAGGGAAGCCCACTGACGAGGGCCCAGGCGGGAAGCTGTCGTCCACAAAGTTCACGCCGTTCTGCAGGGGCCTGGTGGTCAGGGTCCAGATGGGCTCCCTTGGCCCGCCTACCCGACTCACTGCCAAGGAACCTCTGGAGGACACTGCCCAGTTCCACGGCCAGCCCAGAGTAGCACAGGGCCCCACAGGTGGGTGGACGGGTCAGCTGGGGGACTGGACACCAGACCCCCATCCAGCACAGGCCCAAGGTGGGCATGCTGGGCAGTGATGGGGGGGGGGTGTAAGAGGATGAGTGACGTGGGCTCGGGGCAGCAGCCCAGGCCCAGCTACAGAAAGGGTGGAGGGTGAAGGTCACGGCCAGCACTCCTGTGCTTAGAGGGTGAACTTAGGGGGCCCTGACCCTAGCTTCCAGCATGGCCTCCACACCCCTTGTCCCCCTTGGCTCCTAGTGCCTTGTGCCCTGATGCAGCAACAGGAGGGTGAGGAGCCAGGCCAGCCCACTCCAGCCACTCAGCTGCAGTGCAGACCGACACCCACCCACCAGCCCACACTGCTGGCCTGCCCACCTCTCGGCAGAAGGCCACGATGTGCTCCCACAGAGCCTTGGCTTCGCCTTCATCCGTCAGCCGCCGCTTCTCCACCAGCACGCTCTCCCGGCGCCGCAGGGGCGCGGCACCCTGGCGCTGGGCCTCCAGCAGCTGTGGCGTGTGGCAGGCGGCACAGTGCCGGGCGCGGGGTGCATTGAGTAGAGTGCAGGCAGGACAGGCCCACTGGGCCTGGTGCTCGGGGGGTCCGGCAGGCAGGAGGCGGGCAGCCTTGTGGGCCGAGGGAGCCCGGCCGCAGCCGCTGCTGCCGCAGGGCCTGAGCCTGTCGGTGCCACAGTCAGGGCAGTGGGCAGGTGCCTCGCCGTGCTCCTGGAAGCCATGGAGCTTGGAGCAGCCGCAGGCGGAGCAGCGGGTGGCTGCCGTGGGGTTGCGAAGCGTACACTGGGCGCACGACCAGGTGGTGAAGTCGGGGCTGGAGGGGCTGGCAGGTGTGAAGCGCACGGAGTCGCTGGCCAGGTCGATGACGTCCCCACCCAGCGCAGGCCCACAGCCCTCACCGTGGGCCGGCCCGCCCTCTGTCACCGCCTCCCCCAGCACACTTAGCCGCTGGCTGGAAAGCAGCTCCATCAGGCGGGGGGCCCCGGTCGCTGCCCGCCCCGGGCCCTGGGGGACCTTGGGGCTGGCTGCAGGCTGAGAGGCCTCGGGCCCTGGTGGCTGCGGCTGGGGAGGCACCTCCCGACGGCTACGGGGCATGGGGTTGTTCTGTGGGGGTGGCGAGAAGGGGCTGAAGGGTGCCACGCGTGGGGGCTCCTGGTCGGTTGTGGGGACACCCTGGCTGCTGGGGGCAGGGGTGGCCTCGGTGCCATCCCTGGGTAGGCCTGGTGTGGATGGGGTAGGCCCGGCATGGAAGCCGGCAGGGGCCACAACCTCAGGCACCACCAGCGCCTCGGGCGGGATCCTGGGCAGCGAGAGTCTGCGGGGACCCCCGCAGGCAGAGCAGGAGCTGGCCACAGGGGTGTTGTGCAGTGTGCAGCGTGGGCAGGCCCAGCCCCCTGGCTCTGCAGCTGCCTCCTCGGGGTGCCCCCCAGCTGGCTCCACGGCCACCCGCCCCACCGTCCGCATAGGCCCTGCTTCCTCCTGGCAGCTGCCCCTGGGCTCGGCCAGGACGGCAGGTGGTGGAGGCAGGGCCCCATTGGTGGCGGGGGCCAGGGGGGCCCCAGGCGTGGGGTCGGGCGCGAAGCCGCACACCTCGCAGGTCTCCTTGCCCAGGAAGTTGCGGAAGGTGCAGCGGGCACAGGACCACTTCTGCTCTTCCACGCTGAGCCGCAAGATCTGATCGAGGTCGGGCTTCTGCCGGGGGGCCTCGCAGACGGAACACTGGCGCTGGCCGGCCGGGTTCAGGAAGGTGCAGCGGGCACACGACCACTCTCGGACTGCGGCCATCGACCCGGGCGAGTGCGTGTGGCTGTAGGGAGGGCCGAGGGGCCGAGTCAGGGCTCTGGCACCCACAGCTCTGCCCTAATACCCACTTCTGGGCATTAGGTAGAACCTCTGATCACCCCAGGGGAGAGCCTGAGGCCATGAGGCGTTGACGGCCACCTACCAGGGTTCTGCCTCACTCTCCCCTGAGACATGCAGGCAGGGTCCCACACATACCAGGGTTCTGCCTCACTCTCCCCTGAGACATGCAGGCAGGGTCCCACACATACCAGGGTTCTGCCTCACTCTCCCCTGAGACATGCAGGCAGGGTCCCACACATACCAGGGTTCTGCCTCACTCTCCTGAGACATGCAGGCAGGGTCCCACACCATGTGGAAAAGCTGGGGCTGCCGCCTGTGCTGCCCAACCAAGGACACAGCCCACAGCCTTCTGTCCCCAGGCCCAGGTCTGGCCAACTCCACCTGGGACTGTAGCCACCTGGCAGGCCGTGGGCAAAACCTCAAACTAGCCCAGTGAGGCCACACCTAGTGCTGTGGGGGCCCCAGGACACCTACATCTCACGTAGAATGAGAGAATAGCTAGCTATGCCGGGACCATACCCACCCCTCCCTCCTGCAGCCACAACCAGGTTGGTCTAAGCCCAGGAGTGAGGGCGTATCCTGAGGTGGGCTCTTAAAATCACCAAGGCTGGGGTACAAGACGGGTAGACATGTGAAGAACCAACCTTCTGGCCTGAGATGCCCACGTCAGAGACCACCAGCTGGGCCAGGGCTGTGGCAAGGGTAGGGCTGAGCGGGCCCAGCTCCCAGTACTTCCGAGGGGCCTTGCTGATCACGGACCCTCCTGTCTGCCCGGGGGGGTGGGACACGACACTTTCGATTTCTCCTGGGCTTGGGATGGGGATCACGGCAGTCTCCCCTGTGCAGCCTGCCTGTGGGCCCTGGCGGGCATCGGACACTGTGCCATGCCCAGTCTGTAGCTGTGCCTCTAACCTCCAGAGCTGCCCCCCTGGCAAAACATCAACTGCGCTTTGTAACGTGCACAAAGCTTGCACTCCTAATGACACATTCCAGCCAAAGCATCTGGGTGAGGAAGAAGGAAAAGCTGCCTCTACCAAACCTCAAACAGAAAGACCCTGCGAGCACCAGGAGCGTTTTCCGGCCCCTGGAGCCCTCCACAAGGCAGCTTGCAGGCCCAGAGCAGGGAGGGGTGTGTAGCCAGCACCCATGGGGCAGCAGTACCTCCTGGAGCCCCCAGGGTGTCCAGCCTGGCATCAGGCCAGGGGCGACCTCTGCTTCTGTGCCAGGAAACTCAGAAAGCTGACCTTCCCTCCTTGTCCTTCCTCGGGGAAAGGGCCCACAGCACAATGGAGGAGTGGAGCATGCATGCGCCTGCACAAGAACTCATGTCTGTGCACACACACATGATCACATGCATGCATGCAGATACACATGGGCACACACATGTGCATGCCCAAGGTATATGCACACATGTACATATGCATACAATGCATGTGCACACACACACTCAAGGCACACGAAGGCATGTAAACACACATGACACGCATATGCACACACATGGGTACACAGACACATGCACAAACACACTCAAGGCACATACATGCATGTAAACACATACAATGCAAACATGTGGGTGTACACACATACACACACTCAAACACAGACACACAAACATGCTCAAGGCATATGCACACAGGTAGACACGGCACACACATGCAGGTGCACACACACACGTGCTCAAGGTCCATGCAGATAGACACGTACAATGCACACACATGTGGGCGTGCGAACCCACGTTCAAGGTCCATGCACGCAGAGAGACAGCATGACGCACGTGCATAGCGAAGGCCCCGGGCACCTGCCCACCCGACTCTGCTGCGGGTGACTGCAGCTGAGCGTCGGGCTGGAGCCCATGACCCACCAGCAGGGAAGCCCCTCTCGCCCAGTCATGTTCCCAAGGTCAACCAATAGGAACAGTAGCCCCCAGGTCCACACGGCAGCGGCAATGGGGGCTGGACCCTCAGGCTCTGGGGTCACCCACTCCCATGTGGGCAGTGCCTGTCGGCCTATCCTCGCAGGGGCTCCTTTCCCACAGCTCACATTCACATCTGCCCCCTCCCGGGGGTCGCCCACAACCAGAAGAGGGGCAGCTGGGCCGTCAGCTGGGCTGCAGGGTGTGTGCTGAGCTACCCAGCAGGGTCCACTATACCAGAAAGGTTGGCAGCACTCTGACCTGCTATGTGTCCCACCCCCACCAGACCACAGTGAGCACACTGTACACATGTGAGTGCTGCAGGGTGCATGTGAGCGTGTGTGTGCATGTGCACTGGACAGGTAAGGTGGTGTTACAGGGCCACTGTGTCCACCCAAGGGGCCGAGCCCCGTGCTGCTGTGGGATTCCCTGCGTCTGCTTGGTGCCCCTTGCCCTTTAGCCCGCCTCCCCACACCATTTCTTGTCTTGAGTCTGAGTGTCCGACTCCCTCGTTAAGTGCACTTCCTTCTGAGTCACCCTTCCAGGCCCATGGCTCCATAGCTCCCTGGGGGTCACTCACACAGGCAAACTGTCCAGAGACTGGTCCTACTGCATGAGGGGGGCGCCAGCCAGGGGCCAAGGCCAAAGGCCAGCACCACCAGGCAGTTCAATACCGAATGTGACCCAAACTCACAGTCTCACCCCTAATCACACACCCCACAGACATCCCCACCCGTCCTGCACTCACACCCACACAGCCTACACCCTCCGCTCCCCACCCCACACACACCATCTAAATCCTCCCCTTCAATCTCCCACTGCCCCCCACCCCCACACTGCCTACACTCTTGCTCCGCACCAACCCCCACTGCCCCCCCAGCATCCCCCCACCTGTGCCCTCACCCACACTCACACCCCCAGCTCTCCTGGTACTCTTGGCCTCACCAGGGAACCTCCCTGGGAACCCCCAAGAACGCTGTTTCTGCTGTCCTATCTCCCACTGGGCTAGAGAAGACCAAAGAGCCAGGAGGCTCTCCTGAGGTCCCCAAGCTCACAGAGCGGGGGGCTGAGAGGCCTACCCCTGTGGAGAAACACTTCACTCTGTCCTGCTCAAATGCTTACAAACACACGGTACTCTATGCCATAAGTCATACCATAGTCGTCTCTAAAAGGGGAGCTCTGAACTAAACAACCTCAGGTCTCACGTGTGCCCACAAACTCACAAAGCCCCAGCAGCTGGCAGGTGCCGGCAGGTTGAGAGCTGCCCCAGCAGAGCGGGCCCAGAGCTCCAGCCTCACCCAGCGGAGGAGCTGCGGGAGGAAACGTGCAGACAGACTCACGCGGGCGGGCACCGAGCAGGCCCCGGCACCGTGCACCATCAGGACCACAGTCAGGCTCACGTGGACGGTCACAAGGGCTGGCGAGGAGAACGTGTCCCCCGGAGCGGGAACACAACACAGCTTCACGAGAAACAGGCCATGGGTTTCCTGACAGCTAAGCAGACTCAAGGTACCAACCCCAGGATGTAAACATTTACAGAGCTACCATCATTGTGCCCAGCAGGTGGGACTGCCCGAGGGCCCACCGACAGACAGCGGATAACCCTAACTGGCCCACCCGCAGGACAGAGTATACTCAGCCAAGCACAGAAGCGAAGCCATGAGTAACAAGGCCCGCCACAAAAGGCCACCTGGGGGATGATGCAGTCGTGAGGACCTTCTAGGAAGGCAAACCCCAGGGAGGAAGCAGGTCAGTGAGGGAGTGGGCCTGTGGCTGAACCATACAGCACAGATGGCTGACACTGGGTGAACTTCACACATGCACGTGGTAGCCTCACAAGGGCGTTTGAGAGGCGCACACAAGGTGGTCAGTGGCACCTCGGCCCACGGCAGCACCGCTGTGATGCTAACGTCGTCCCCCGTCTACTGAGGAGCCTTCCTCCTGGGGACCCGGCCATAGCTGCAAACCTGGCGGGCACCCCGCAGGCCTGACTGCCGCACCACCCCCACAGGCAGCCCCCCGTGGGGGCAGGCGCGCACACACACACACACACACACACACACAGGGTGCGCAGTGGGCACTATCCACCAGGTACCTCACAGCCCTGAAATCCAGGGCTCGAATGGACCTGAGAGGGCGCAATCATAGCCCGTGGAAACGGGGGCGGCATACGCACTGCTCAGCAACCAGAGCTCCTGCTCCTGGGGTTCGGCCGTGAGTGGTGCCCCTTGCGAAGGTGCTGCCAGCTACACTGCAGTGCGTGCGTGTCATTGACCGCCACTTTTAAAATGTATTTCTTCTACTTGGGCCAAAGTTCACAGAGCAAATTGGCTTCCCTTCATTTTGTTTTGTGACACTCACTCAGGCCCCACCCTGTTCCAGCGCTCTTCCTACTTCCTCCGTTTCCTGTCTCCCTTGGTCCCCTCTCCTGTCCCTTCCTCCCTCTGAGCTTTGGCCCTGGGCAAATGCTGCCCTTCCGATCTCGCCTTGTTGACTGTTCTAAGGACTGCACACCTGCTTTCCTGTTCACCTTGTAGCTCTATCGTTTGGCTGACACTGAGTGACGGGGTGACTGAGGGGGCCGCCGTCTTTGACCAGGACACAGATGCCCGTTTCCTCCTTGGGTCAAAGTCCGATGTGGGAGAGGTTTGGTTGCTATGCAGTACGTAATACTGCCCTTGTTTCTGGCCACAAGCGAACCCTTCTGAAGCCCTGACAAAATCCCGCACGAAGACAGCCACAGCTCCCGGCGCGGCAGCCCGCCCCTAGGCAGCTCCTGAAGCGGCCAAGCACCCAGACCACGTGCAAACCTGGTTCCCCGGCCATGCCAGCTCCCCGTGTCCCCCAGGCCTGGCTCCTCCTATGCCTGGTGACAACCGAGTCCCTGAGCCCTCACGTCCTTGGGGACTGGAGAGCCCTAAGAAACAGGGGCCTGCTTTCTGCTAGCCCCTTTGCCCAGGAGAGACGCCCTCCTCGCGTTCTTACCTTCGGGCCCGGGGCCGCAGGGGTA